AGAGACAGAAGGGGCTGGTGGGTTTTGACCCAGGCCCTCCCGAGGCTATCCTATGTTTCTGTCTCTTTCTTCTATATTTCTATCTGCATGGTCCTCATTTCTCCCTGCTCAAGAGTACCCTGGGAGAAAAAGTGGGAGCAGGCCCCACAAAGGTGTTGGAGAAGGAGCTGGAAGTCCTACATCTTGATCTGAATGCAACAGGAAGTGGACTATGTCACTGGCATAGCTTGAGCATAGGAGACCTCAAAGCCCACCCCCACAGTGACACACTTCCTCCAACAAAGCCACACCTTCCAATAGTCCCATTCCCTGTGAGCTTATGGGGGGCAATTCATACTACCATAGTTAATCTCATAGCTGTACCTGGCCGTCCATCACATAGGACAGTCCACTTGAGGTTTTGGGAAGATGATGAAGTTGAAAAGCATTGACACATCATTAAAAATCCCCACACCAAACTGTATCTTAATCACATGTAGAGTTTAGCCAAGCTGAGTTTCCTAGCTGCTTCAGATATGTATATATTGAAGCCTGTGCATTGAAATTTTGGTTCTCAGGTAGTGATGCTAATGAGAGGTGACTGGATCATGCAAGTCTTAGCTTCTCAATGACTTCATCCATTGATGAATTCATACAGAATAGGTTATCTGGTGGGTCTTTGGGGGTGTGCTTTTGAAGGGCCCTTAGCCTCTTCCTGTCTCAGCTTCTGGCTGCCATGAGGTGAACAGCTTTATGCCATTTCATGCCTCATTTCACACGACCACCAAACAGTGATTCCAGCCAACTGTGAAATGGCACCTCTGAAACTGAACTCAACCAATCTTTCCTCTGAGATTTCTCAGATATTTTTTCATGACAACTGGAACTAACACACTTTTGCTACCTTAAATAGATACAGTGGGCCTTCCAAATCTGAGATCCAAGGATTTAGCTATGTCAAAAGATATTTTGTGTGTCCTAACTGAACACATACAAACTTTTTTCCTTTTCCTTATTTTCTAAACAATACAATCTAACAACTATTTATAAGACACTGACATTGTAGTAGGTATTATATGTAAGCTAATGCAGATTTGAAGTATATGGGAAGATATGAGTAGGTTATATACAAATACTGTGCATAAGTGCATGGAAAAGCATTCACCCTTGTTAGTGAACTGAGAGTGCAGAATAAAGCCAGAAAGTACCACCAGGGTGCCACCAATATGACAAGAGCTTTAAAAGTTTACCATGTGTTGTCAGGGCTGTGTAGAACAAATGAACTTTAATATTATTTTCACTCCATAAAGTCATCTTAATCTGACCATTGTGAAACTTCCCGGAGACTTCCCCAGACACAACAGCAGGTGGCAGTAGAGAGCACAATCACAATGAGTTTTTCGGAATTTGGCGGGGCTTTTCTTTAAAAAAAAAAAAAAAAAAAAAAAAAAATTCCCTGAAGGGTGTGCTCACTGAACTAGAGTCTACAGAAACTTGCCCCCGTCGGCCCGCAGCTTCACCACCCTGCCATCCCCCCTCACTTCCGCTGGCTCTCTTCTTACTGCACCAGAGAGCCGGGAAGCTCAGCCAACAAGCATGTTGTGGGTGCCCTTCTAACCCAGGTTTTGAACTGGATGCTAACACCATCATCTTCCACCCAGGAGGAGAGTCACAGCACAAGCTTGACCTCAGAACACAGAAAAGCATGTTACCTGATGATTACGGAATATTTTTCAACTCATTTTACTGTAATACCAATTAGCATTTAAAATATTTTTAGCCAGGCGGTGGTGGCGCACACCTTTAATCCCAGCACCTGGGAGGCAGAGCCAGGTGGATCTCTGTGAGTTCAAGGCCAGCCTGGTCTACAGAGCAAGCTCCAGGACAGGCACCAAAACTACCCAGAGAAACACTGTCTCGAAAAAACCAAAAAGAAAAAAAAATTTTTTTAATTAGGCTATTATCT